GACACCCTTTCGAAATGCATTGATCAGAAGCAGAATCCCACCTGCGCTGCTTTCTTTTTTAGCCGCCCAATTTCCAGCGGGTATTTCTCTGCGGCGGCATCAGCAGAGGCAGCACTTGTTGCCTTGGAATCGTAAAAGCTTCAACTTGATGCGCTAAAGGTTGCAGACAGAACAAGCCAAGCAGGAAGAAAGGGATATACCCTGGCTGTTGATACCCAGCAAAAGACTTTAAGCAGTTATTAAAACTTTTGGATGTTCGGCAAGCAGTGTTGCAAAAGTGTTTTGCGTTGCTGATGTGGCCAACTCCATGAAAATCTCTGCGCGGATGTGTCTGCACGTCGTGTGTTTTGTGTCAGCAAGCAATCTGAAGGGCCTCAAGTTCTGCGAGAGGGTCTTGGAGCTGCTGCACCTACCACATCCCGCACATTTCACATCACAATGACCCCTAAGGTCGCCTACCAAACCTCTGTGTCACAGCGATCGCGAACAACCTGCGCTTTGTTTCAACCAAAGAATGAATATGAAATTGCTTTGACCGAAACGACGGCATACCGATCGAACTGACATCCGGGCCTTAGGACGACCGGTTGAGCTGTATCTGCAACCACCCGTGTAGTTCCCCAGATATGCCAACGACAAACGCCGACACAGACCGGAACCCCTCCTTCCGGCGCTTGCTCGGAGTGGGAGCGTCCAGCCACTCTGACGCTTTCCTGGGCACCGGCGTGCTTGGCTCAGTGGTCGTCTTGATGTCCGTGCAGGACGTGGGCCCTCAACTACAGGAGGTATATATACATGAAAAGTTGTGGTCACTAAGACTTAGACCAAATGAATTCCACAATATTCCACAACCTAACTCACTCATGGGCCCTCGAACTGAAGAATAATTTCTGCACACATGAATGTGGTCATTCCAAGCATCTTGCGTCGCGACGGCGTCATTGGATCGGCCTCCCGCTTCGCCCGCTTCTGCCGAGGGGTGGGATAGGTGAGGAGCTCCCGCGTGAAGGAGATATCCTCATCCTGCAGGCTGTTCGGGCATTACAAAGGCCTGGAACAAGATTCACACCAAACATGCAGTAGATGAACAAAATATTCGAACCCCTGAGTCAGGGAGCTGTCACGCACCCCTTACCCCCAAAGTTCAATGTTGAAAGCAAGTTCTTTCAATTTGCGTTAGGGTATCTTGTTTTGTCCATTCGCCCAAACACTCTGGCAGGCTTGCTAAGATTGGGTTTTGGGGTGGAAGGGGTCAAAGTGGTTTGGAGGATTTGAATATTTCGTCCATCTACGGCTATGAACATGCAGGGGGGCATGTGTTTGTTTCCCAACCTCGACCCGTTCGTATCCACCGATCCACCGACCGACCTCACGAGAGCGTACTCTCCCCACAGGGAGACCGACGTCACCCGTGGCAGGTCCGACCCCCGTCGCAGCCAACGGGATCTTGATTCGGGGCGTCGCAACCAGTCTACCGTGGGACCAGATGCCTTATCAAAGTATAATGATACGGTGGAAGAACCTGGAGCAATGCTAACTGGGATCTGGTTGACGATTTGCTTAAGCAACCGGGAAAATATTCACCAGAAGTTGGATTCACCCATAAGGAAAAAAGCATCCGATCCAGAAAACCAGGTTGACTGAGGGGGGTTCAACCCATAGGGTGTTCAATTCGAGAGGTTCAACATGGTTCAACTGTTGAACCTTGCAACATCTTGTAACAATGGGACTGACATAACATGACTGATGAGAACCGCGCTAGGGATGTTTCTTTTGTCACTGTTTGGGTAATATCATCCCATTTCCTGGGCCTGCTTTGGATGATGATGGTTCAGTTGCAGGCCTATAAAATAGTAAATAGTGGTCCCCCAATAGGTAGTGGCACGGTTTCCACTACATTCTTAGTGTGGATTTACTTTTCTATCTGTCTGCGGGTCTATAATAGGACCTTTACTGACTGCTCTACTCGGTGCTGGGTTCGTGCGCGTCAAGGTATAAGGCCCCCAGGCTGCACTAAAAGATGAACCAGGGATCCGAACTGAGCACAGTCAACAGTTGCGTCCAATGCAATCCACCAAATTTGAGTGCTATCAAACCAGAGGGGCATCTCAAATTTCACGTTGGGACTTGACACTACGCAACTAGTTTCAGTACATGCGAGTGACACAGCCAGTTGTATCAGGGAGAAGAAACGGGCAAAGACAGACCAAAGGACAATTTATTGTATATGAAATTACATTTGCCCAGTGCAGAGTGAAAAATAATGATATCACGAAGCCTGACTCATTCAGTTTTCTTGGAAAGTAAAGGTCAACCCTTTTCCAACTGTTGGAATTGAGTGGGAGAAAAATGCATTGAACAAACAACCAAACAACCAAAAAACACTGACGTACTTCCTTGCACTTCCTGGGTAAGTAGCAATCTGGCCAATCAGCATGCGTGGATGATGTCTGATGTTTGCGAACCTCCAAGGCCGGTACATCATGGTACATCACGTGGATCATCTAATCTCACCAACAAAACCCTGGGCTTCCAAGACCATGTAAAAAACATGTAAAAACTGGGACTGACCAGGTTTTGGAGTGCAAGATCGTAATTAAAACGCTCCGACCGGGCTTCGTTTCGCCTTAAATTCACCGGAAACGCTTCCGAATCGAATCAGGAATCGGAGACGCTACCGAATCGCCACCGAAACGAAAACCGTCTGGCTGAAGATCGAATTCACGGTGGGCTTCAGCGACTCGCCGTCCTCGGCTTCAGCGACTCGCTCCGCCAGCTCCGCCAGCTCCATCAGCGGCCGCAGGGCATCGTCCACGCGGCCCAACTTCAAACGCATGGCTCGCCGCCGCCGGAGGCTCCAGGTGAACCGCGAACCGTTTGGTGTGGTTGCCCAGATCTTTGTCGCTGAGACAGCGGTAGCAGTGTAGCAGTCTGAACACGATCTCTCTATAGAGGTGACCTCATGAATCAGTGGAGTTGGCCGTCTTTGAATGTCCAACTAGCATGGCAAACCATATGCAAAAAGACCTTGGACATACGCTGTGTCGAGTGTCAACAGTGTCAATGGGCAAAGATAGATTCCAAGATGCGTACCAAGACTAGGCATCTTTTTTGGGATTACTATTTTGTTTCAATGAAACTCCACATATCCTTTTGGAAGAAACGTGAGTGCCGACCTTTAGCGCTTTGCTCACTTGGCTTGAACCTTGCTGCTTCACAGCGCGGCAGTTATAGGAGTTCAAGACTAAACTTTGTTCAGCACTTTACAAACCACAAACTCTGGCAAAAGGAGCTGCTTTGGCAGGTGGCCCCAAGTGGCTCAAAGGAGGCACCGATGGAGTTGTAGCATGTGTGCATTTGGATCTCCTATGCATGAGACCTCGTGTTCAATCCTTTTCGAACGCTTCTAGGTAAAACTGTTGGATCCACAATGAAAGTGTTCACCTGAGAAGCTGCAAAACGAAAGCCAGCGCTTCACCATCCGCTCCAAAAGCATCAAAGCATCACCCCCCAGAGTTTACGTATATCTTTCTCGAGCCACACATGCACAGCAAACCACAGCTTTGAAGTCTCATTCGTGCTTTGAACTTGTATAGGTGTGTAAGAGGTATAGCAACATAGGGTAGCTACAATTCTGTTCCCAGGTATCGCGCGCATGAGGCTTCAAAGCTGTGGTTTTCAAGCTGAGTTAGAGGTGGCCTGAGACCAGGGTTTGCTGCCCTAAAACACTCTGTTCAGGCCACCTTAAAAATGAAGGTCTGCGAAGCGAGAGCAAAGGATGCACATTGTGGGTTCATATAGGGAGCCAGGCCATTTTCAGAATCTTCTGGATTTGAGCTGTTCGAGTTCCTATTGAAGGGTATAGTTGGCGAGTGCGTCACCACCCGCTCCAAAAGCATCAAAGCATCACCCCCCAGAGTTTACGTATATCTTTCTCGAGCCACACATGCGCAGCAAACCACAGCTTTGAAGTCTCATTCGGGCTTTGAACTTGTATAGGTGTGTAAGAGGTATAGCAACATAGCATTTATACGGACCCAGGGTAGCTACAATTCTGTTCCCAGGTATCGCGCGCATGAGGCTTCAAAGCTGTGGTTTTCAAGCTCAATTCAAGGTGGCCTGAGACCAGGGTTTGCTGCCCTAAAACACTCTGTTCAGGCCACCTTGAAAATGAAGGTCTGCGAAGCGAGAGCAAAGGAGTTTCCACCTCCTCGCTGTCAGAATCTTCTGGATTTGAGCAGTTCGAGTTCCTATTGAAGGGTATATGTTCTAGTTGGCGAGTGCGTCACCACCCGCTCCAAAAGCATCAAAGCATCACCTTCCAGAGTTTACGTATATCTTTCTCGAGCCACACATGCACAGCAAACCACAGCTATGAAGTCTCATTCGTGCTTTGAACTGGTATAGGTGTGTAAGAGGTATAGCAACATAGCATTCATACGGACCCACGGTAGCTACAATTCTGTTCCCAGGTATCGCGCGCATGAGGCTTCAAAGCTGTGGATTGCTGTGCGTGTGTAGAGGTTATCGAGCGGTTGACGGAAAGGGAACTTGAAGTACTATACCTGGTAGCTGCACTGGCAAGGTGCCAACTACACCTTTCCATTCAGATGATGCAAATGATGCAAATTGCATTTCTTGCATCACCACCCCTCAAAAATCACCTCCAACACAACCTCAAAAAACCTTCCCTCGACGCACCCTCCTCCCCCAGCATGTGCCGAGTTTACGTGCACCTTTTGCGGGCCACCCCCCCCAGACCCCCTAACTACTCACTTCGTTCGCCAAACACAACTCCGCTGGCGCCTTCTACGAAGGCTGGCTTTCGTAGTTCATGTCTCTACCTTCCCGCCTTCGTTGCCCTGCAATGGAATGGTATGAAGCGGGCCGGGCAACCATTTAGAGAGCACTGATGGTGGACTTGGAGATTCAGATGTGGATGCGGATCTGACACCAGGTGCGACTCACTCACTCCAGGGTGCTTGCTTTTTCCTGATGCAATGGTGAATCGAAAGTCTTGCTTTGCAAGCTTGCATTGCTAGTGCACACGCATGCACCCTTTACAACTCGAGCTTGGCTCACAACACCATGATAAGCCGAAGGCCAAGCAGGATGTCCTCAGAACGGAGCCGATTGCTCAAACCATTCCATCAGGACATGTTCCGACGTTGACTGGTTGAAGAAAAGAAGGAAAGAATTGAACAAGATGGAGACCGCGAACCCGAATGCAAACACGTTCGAAAAGCTACATATGTCCAAATGACACTCTTGTAGGACACTCTTGCGGGACACTCTTGTGGGTCACTCTTGTAGGAAACTCTTGTGAGACACTCTTACAGGACACTCTTGTGGGACACTCTTGTGACACTGTTGTGGGACACTCTTGTGGGACACTCTAGTAGGAAACTCTTGTGGGACACTCTTGTAGGACACTCTTGTGGGACACTCTTGTGGGACACTCTTGTGGAACACTCTTGTAGGAAGCTCTTGTGGGACACTCTTGTAGGACACTCTTGTGGGACACTGTTGCGGGACACTCTTGTGGGACACTCTTACGGGACACTCTTGTTGCACACTCTTGTAGGACACTCTTGTGGGTCACTCTTATGGGACACTCTTGTCGGACACTCTTGTGGGGCACACTTGTGGGACACTCTTGTGGGACACTCATACGGGACACTCTTGTGGGACACTCTTGTGGGAGACTCTTGTAGGAGACTCTTGTGGGACACTCTTGTAGAAAACTCTTGTGGGACACTCTTGTGGGACACTCCTGTAGGACACTCTTGTGGGATACTCTTGTGGGACACTCTTGTGGGACACTCTTGTAGGAAACTCTTGTGGGACACTCTTGTAGGACACTCTTGTGGGACACTGTTGCGGGACACTCTTGTGGGACACTCTTAAGGGACACTCTTGTGAGACACTCTTGCGGGACACTGTTGCGGGACACTCTTGTGGGACACTCCTGTGGGACACTCATTTGGGACACTCTTGCGGGACACTCTTGTGGGACACTCGTGTGGGACACTCTTAAGGGACACTCTTGTGAGACACTCTTTCGGGACACTGTTGCGGGACACTCTTGTGGGACACTCCTGTGGGACACTCATTTGGGACACTCTTGTGGGACACTCTTGTGGGACACTCTTGTGGGACACTCTTGTGGGACACTCTTGTGGGACACTCTTATAGGTCACTCTTGTAGGAAACTCTTGTGGGATACTCTTGTAGGACACTCTTGTGGGACACTCTTGTAGGACACTCTTGTGGGACACTCTTGTAGGGCACTCTTGTGGGACACTCTTGTGGGACACTCTTATAGGACACTCTTGTGGGACACTCTTAACTCTTGTGAGACACTCTTGTGGGACACGGTTGCGGGGCACTCTTGTGGGACACTCTTGTGAGACACTCTTCTTGTACGACACTCTTGTGGGACACTCTTGTAGGAGACTCTCGTGGGACACTCTTACGGGACACTCTTGTTGCACACGACACTCTTGTGGGTCACTCTTATGGGACACTCTTGTCGGACACTCTTGTGGGACACACTTGTGGGACACTCTTGTGGGACACTCTTGTGGGACACTCATACGGGACACTCGTGTGGGACACTCTTGTCGGACACTCTTGTGGGAGACTCTTGTGGGACACTCTTGTGGGACACTCTTGTGGGACACTCTTGTGGGACACTCTTGTAGGAAACTCTTGTGGGACACTCTTGTAGGACACTCTTGTGGGACACTCTTGTAGGACACTCTTGTGGGACACTCCTGTAGGGCACACTCTTCGTACGAGACTTCCTCGAAAAGTCATGCTGCGAGGCTGCAAGACGAGCGTTTCGTACGAGACTTCCTCCAAAAGTCACGCGTCAAGTCTCAAAAACGAGCGTTTCGTACGAGACTTCCTCCAAAACTCACATGTCAAAGTCTGCCAAGGAGGATTTCGTACGAGACCTCCTCCAAAAGTCCAGCAGCAGCACCCATCAGAGCACACACATCACGCAGCCCTGCGAAGCAGTTTCGCGATTCCAGACCCTCCAAACGACACCCGCTCAAACGCCAATCCCAATGTGACAGCGAAATTCACCTCTACCACAACTCACAACCTCCCGATTCCCTGCACCGGCCACGCATCTTTCCGCGTCCAAACGTCTAACGCGCACAAAGTACTGCGCCTGTCACGAAATGTCACCTCCGACTCCGTCACACATCGCACGACGCTCTTGTAGGACACTCCTTGTGGGACACTCTCATAGGACACTCTTGTGGGTCACTCTTATGGGACACTCTTGTCGGACATTCTTGTGGGACACTCTTATAGGACACTCTTGTGGGTCACTCTTATGGGACACTCTTGTCGGACATTCTTGTGGGACACTCTTGTGAGACACTCTTGCAGGACACTCTTGTGGGGCACTCTTGTGGGACACTCTTGTAGGACATTCTTGTAGGACACTCTTGTGGGACAATTTTGTGGGACACTCTTGTGGGACACTCTGGTGTGACACTCTTGTAGGAAACTCTTGTGGGACACTCTTGTGGGACACTCTTGTGGGACACTCTTGTGGGAAACTCTTGTGGGACACTCTTGTAGGACACTCTTGTGGGACACTCTTATAGGACACTCTTGTGGGACACTCTTGTGGGACACTCTTGTAGGACACACTTGTAGGACACTCTTGTGGGACGCTCTTGTGGGATGCTCTTGTGGGACACTCTTGTGGGACACTCTTGTAGGAAACTCTTATGGGACACTCTTGTAGGACACTCTTGTGGGACACTCTTATAGGACACTCTTGTGGGACACTCTTCTGGGACACTCTTGTAGGACCACTCTTGTGGGACACTCTTGTGGCTGTGGGACACTCTTGTAGGACACTCTTGTGGGACACTCTTGTGGCACACTAGAAGCAGTCCTGCGAGCGTTTCGTACGAGACGTCCTCCAAAAGTCACGCTTCGAGGCTGCACAAGACGAGCGTTTCGTTCGAGACTTTCTCCAAAAGTCACGCGTCAAGTCTCCAAAACGATCGCTTCGTACGAGACTTCCTCCAAAAGTCACACGTCAAGTCTCCAAAACGAGCGTTTCGTACGAGACCTCCTCCAAAAGTCACGTGTCAAGTCTCCAAAACGAGCGTTTCGTACGAGACCTCCTCCAAAACTCACATGTCAAAGTCTGCAAAACGAGGATTTCGTACGAGACTTCCTCCAAAAGTCAAGCGGAAACACCCATCGGAGCACACACATCACGCAGCCCTGCCAAGCAGTTTCGCGAGTCCAGCCCCTCCAAACAATACCCGCTCACACGCCAATCCCAATGTGACAGCGACATTCACCTCTACCACAACTCACGACCTCACGATTCCCTGCGCCTGCCACGAATCTTTCCGCATCCACACGTCTAGCGCGCACAAAGTACTGCGCCTGTCACGAAATGTCACCTCCGACTCCGTCACACCTCGCAACCTCACGATTCCCTGCGCCTGCCACGAAAATCCCACTTCCACACCTCAAAAGTCCTGCGCCTGCCACGAAAAGTAACAATGTCATCTCACGTGAGCTTCAACAAAATTTGCACCACACCACACGTTTGGAATGATTTCGACCCGTTCTGAGCACACTCCCATCCACCAAAATCGGCATTTCAGCTGAGACTTGTCACGAAAACAGAGCTTCGATGCCACACCCTGCAACGCAAATCCCAATGGCACGGCCACATCCAACACCCCAAAAACACGACTCTCCAAACGCTAATCCCAATGGAACTGCGCAGCAATCTGCAGATCTCACAAAACGCTGCGCCTGCGCAGCGAAACGCATCACGTTTCTTGCGTGACATCTCATTTTCATGCAAATCACAGTGGAATAGCGGCGCAAACTGACACGTGACACATCCATGAAAAGTCACTTGCAAAAGCTTCCCCCAATGGCAGCGCCTTAGCGCTCTACTGCGGACGGTTGCGAACGGTTGCGAACGGTTGCGGACGGTTGCGAACGGTTGCGGACGGTTGCGGACGGTTGCGGACGGTTGCGAACATAGAAGCAACGGGTCGCGAACAAAGCTCTAGCCCCAGACCCCCAAGAGTTAAACGAGAACCCTTCGCTACGCATTCGGGAAAAACCAGAGGTCGAAAGGCTGTTCTGCTGGCATGGGTTAGTTAATCAAAAATGTTCAGTGCCTCTAAAGGACCGTGCAAAGAATACTTCATAGACAGTGGGAATTGTTGGATTTTTCCATTCACCTGATATGACAGGTTTTCAGTTTTGTCGATGTGACCTCGATCACCGAAATTAGGCAAGCGGCATAGTGAACAACTTTCCGTCATCAGCTGACATCTGTTACCTGCATGCGCGCAAACACACGAAGGTGGAAAAGGATGCCAACTGTGATTTCCTGTCCCAGTACTTGGCGATGTTTTGTGGGCACCTCCCTACGGCTGCCTACGCACCAGATGGTGGCCCCCGCACATATTCGATGCTTACCCATAAGAGTCGCAATCGCCGTTCACTCCAGAAGGTTTGGAAAACGAAATGCCAATTGCTCAAACAGTAACTTAGCCACATTCAGAAGTATGTACCTGCTAGCTCACACGTGGCCATAGATGTATGATCCCATAGTCCTGCACCGTTTGATCAGGTATGTCGAAGAACTGTGCGCTGCAAAGTTGGCCTCTGGCAATTGGAAGTATCACCCGGAATTCCCAGATCGAGAGGACCTCCATCTTTTTGAGCTTGACGCTAAATAAGTAGAATCCAAATTCAATATTGGAGATCCAGTCCTGTGTATCTCCCCAACAGGGCCTTACAAGGTCTACGACGAGGTTGAGATTGAGGAGAGCGAGGACGAGAAGGAAGATGGTGCGCAACACGAACACGAAGACCCTGCATCACTCAGGTGGTATATATCGTGCATGCAGTTCCCTAAAACCTGGCCAGAGTTTAATGCCAACCATTTCCGGCACAGGATTCGGATGGTGATTCTGGCGACGAAGAGGAAGATGGCCAAGAGGGACCGGATCTATGTCCTAACCCAAGCCATGAGACACAGCCCACTGGCAAACAAACTGAAACATCTACACTCTACACAGCCAACAATCTAGGATTCAAATATGATCGATATCCGATGATCAAATTAGTTTTTTGAGTCCCAGTGCAAACTCAATGCTTTGGTTTGACACGATTCTCCCACCTCCAACCTGCTATTGTTTTGTTGCACATGCATTTGGTTTCAACTCAGGCAGAAGAAGGCGACCAAGAAGCGGAAGCAAAACAAAGTGAAAGAGTTTGTCAAGGTCAAGGAAGCTCCCGCAAAGAAGAAAAAAAAGATGCTTATAATGTGGTCCCACGGTCATTCTGATGTATAAAATCATTTTAGAACATGTGGGTAGGCTCTCAAAAGGATTCCAAGTGTGCTTCTGGGAGATCCTACCAAGTTGACAGGACCCAAAAACAAAAGGTGAAATAGATTTATTTTCTGGTCCTGGTTCTCCGAACAATCCACAGCGTCAGGCCTTGACCACCATTGCCGAAGCGGGCACCTTATGGTGTGCGACATGTCAGCATAAACCTTTCTGGCTTGGGGGTGGAGGGTCAACCTCTGTTGGAAGTGTTCCAGCAAAGGTCTAACGGCCTTATATAGGCCGATCATTTGACTTCTCTTGGATTGGCATGATGGAACGGTTGCGAAGAGGCAAAGAGAGACCCTTATTACTTTCAGGGGCGGCTGCATTGGAGCTTGAGACTCGCCGCTATCTCCTGTTCTGATTCTCATCTGTCTCAACCTTCACCACCGCTTTACATGCCACACGGAAGAAAAACGAAAAGAATCGTCAACTGGGCATCCAAGCGATCTCACTGGCTTGCCCAGATTCCCAGGCTGTAAAATCATCCATACATATGGGGCCTGCAGATTGGGTCAAAATCGCCGTGTCCAAACCACTGGATATCACAAAAAAAATCGTCCATTTCTCCGAATGATGTGTACCAAGGAACATCTGGCTTCACGTGTCAGGACCATCCAGATATGTCGCGCGGTTGGCATGCCAGTCTTTGAAGGACGGCACAAAGCAAATACATTCCGGAATAAGTATCAAAAGGTTCCGGTCAGCTGTGTAAATTATTACGGGCACGAAGGATTCAGAACAAAATGTCAGGGTTGTGGAGGATTGGCCTGAAGTGGTACATGTCAGGCGAAGCAAAAAGCTTCTACGTTCCTTTCAGCGATGAAGTGGTACGTTTTGTCCCGCTTGTGAAAGTGATGCGTTTCTACAGCCGAAAAGTGGCCTGAAAGTGGGCCACAACTCGCCACTAGTAGGCTAGGATGGACGCAGCAAAGCTCACGCTATTCATGCGGTTCCACACGAGTCTTGGGAAACTGGGCTTGAAGTTCTCCGCACTACACTTGACCACAAATCGCCACACTTCGCTGCCATCACCTCTGTGCACTTCACTACATCTGAAATCAACGCAACCTAAATGCATCTCATTTCAGCACATAAAGAATCACGCGTTCAATTGCGCTATATGACAAGTCAGCACATCGCACATCTTTACACACCAAATTAACAATTGACGCATTGCAGGACATCACAACATCGTACCACCTGCAACTGCAAAACAACACTTTCCGGAGCTTACCGTTCTTGAAGCTTCTGTCCACCGGCTGTACCAGACCTTATCAAACCGAACCCGACTCCGACACCCAAATGAACAGAAGTCATGCATGTGTATGAGATGTGCAACGCAGCCGGAGATGCCTTGACAATTTTGGTATTCGAGCAACTTGTGTGTTGAAGGGGCTAAGTGTTTGGCCTGTTCTTCACCAAGATCTGTGATGTCGCACCGACAGCTTGGGCATTCATGACCTTCAAAGAAATTTCAGAAAGGAAAATCGAGGATCCACTTTGTGGAAAAAGAAACGGCACCACACCACATTTGATTGTTATCAACTAAGATTCTTGGCCTCTTGTTTCACTGTCGTGCGCTGATAGCAAAATTCTAGCAACTTGTGCCCTTGACACCCAGGTAGGTGTTTCAGCACCGGCATAGGGCGCGAACGCTTCCCAAGCCATCCTTGGCCGGGAGTTGCAGGAACCGCTTGTGAGTTTGATCAGAGTCTTAGATCTCTCAAGCACTCACCTTTTAGCATCCTTTCAACCCTTTTTAAAAGAAAGAAACGAATCCGATAACGTCCCCTTTAAATGAAAGGGGCCCTTATCTTCTTATTATGGGCCTTTTCTTTATTGCTTTTGGCATCATGCTTCCAAACCAGCACCCTATAAAGAACACTTTTGGGGATTGCCCCCATCTTCAATTTCTGAAAACCCATGAAGTCAAATGAATTGAAAAACTCCCACCAGACTTGCCTGAGATACATCCAACGTGAAATGTGTGAAAACAAGGGGTCAATACCTGCAGGAGTGTGGAGTTGCAGGGTCTCCGGCATTGGCAGCGGTTGTGGCCATGATCTTCAAATTTCTATATAGTACTTACTAGCTGGGATTAACTTCTTGCTCTCCAAACTCTAGCATTGGAGTTTGAGGCTCGCCGCTATCTCCTGTTCTGATTCTCATCTGTCTCAACCTTCACCACCGCTTTACATGCCACACGGAAGAAAAACGAAAAGAATCGTCAACTGGGCATCCAAGCGATCTCACTGGCTTGCCCAGATTCCCAGGCTGTAAAATCATCCATACATATGGGGCCTGCAGATTGGGTCAAAATCGCCGTGTCCAAACCACTGGATATCACAAAAAAATCGTCCATTTCTCCGAATGATGTGTACCAAGGAACATCTGGCTTCACGTGTCAGGACCATCCAGATATGTCGCGCGGTTGGCATGCCAGTCTTTGAAGGACGGCACAAAGCAAATACATTCCGGAATAAGAACATGATGCAGCCCTCCAAAACTCTGGCTTGATCAGAGCTGCTTTGCCGGAAGAGCCAAGGTGCAACTCTCTGGACGTTGCGTGCCGCTGAAAAGGCCTGGGTGCTGGTCAGCTCACACTTCAGAAATGAGTTTAAAAATCATGCCGCTGTCGCTACATGGGCGTGTGTGAAAATAGGAAGTATTGTCCGATTCTGCGGGCGCCAGGACAAGAAATAGATTAGACTAGGCGGTGAGGGGATATTCCGTTTATGAGACATGCATCCCATATTCGTCGCAAGTCACTCACTTGACAAGCATATGAACCACACAGGATCAAAGCAGGTGGGCTCAATACTTATATAAATATAGACGCGAACCTTTTTTTGATCCAAAGAGGGCTTCAACACAGTCTCATGTACAAACTGTCATGCTAGTAATGATATATACAGTGACCGTGATCTCTATTGAAAATGTTTCACGCTCCTTCTTGGTAGCGTGAGCGATTGAATTGCTACTTTGAGCTCACTTTGCCACTGTAGCCCATTTCCTTCCATTCAATTTTTTCTCTGCAGACTTCTGCATTGCTCTAAGGAATGAGGCTCCTCGACATTCTTTACGCAGGGTCAATCTCTGGGTTGTCCCTTCTAGAGTCTGCTATTCCAAGCAACTGTTCATAGCGTTCTTGTTCTTTCTCAACTACATCTGCTAGGTCCTGTTGTCCTAGTCCTAGTAGGTTCCAATGTCTTTCACTCAGCTGCTCAATTTTCCTTGAAAGTCTACCACACATCTGTACTACCTGCACTCTCACATTTTCAGATCTGATTGATAGTTGCCTATTTCATGGTCTAAATATTCTATTCCATGGTCCTTCTGATGGATTGGCTCCCTGATTGGCTGCCTCTAGCATCACTCTATGTCCGTCATAGTATCCTTCTGTTGATTGCATATCTTCCAAGCTCCTTCTGGCTAAAGAAGTTGGCTGCATTCATGTCTCCCAATATATCATAACTGATTACGGTTTCAGTGTTTGGTGTTCTCTCTTCCCCTTGGGAAGCAACCCACTGTGAATTCTGAGTAGATCTATCTGATGTGTTTCATCTTCATTCTCTCTCATCATCCTCTCAAGCTCCACCATTTGGAATTCTGCTCCATCAACTCTATCACCAAGAGTGTTGAACATGCGCAAATTGTTTTCTTCAATCAGCTTCTCAACATACTTGTAGAGCTTCCACATTGCAAAAGTGACTGCTGCAAAACTAATGATCTTGATCACGACGACCACAATGATCAAATTTGTCCAGCTGCCATTGGATTCTCTTACTTCTTCCAATCCACACTGGTTGTGCTCTGCTATCATGAATGCTTCTGTAGCCATGGGCTGCAAGCCCTCGAACGCTACCATTCTCACAATGATGTGGGCATTTGTTGACATTTACTGCAAAGTTCTTCTTCTCTTCAACACCTTTCTCTCACGCTCTCCTACTCTTGCTTGATCTTCACTGTGCCACTACCCAATGAGGTTCATCAAGTATCTGGCTTTGCGTTGATGTCTGCCATGTTGCTATCTGTTGGCACTTGTACCACATTGAAGTCCTTCCTGTTCTGAACCCATAGCAACTTTCCATCCAAATGTCTCACTTTTCCAACTCCTCTCTTCATCACAAGTTGGCGCGCACTCGAAGAATCTGTGAAGATGAGATGTACTAGTCCACCTTTATCCCAAGAGCAAATTCAAGAGCTGAGCGAATGCAGATTCCATCTGACGCTGAAGAACTATTGCGCGCCACCCTGCCACACATGAAGATAGGCCAATGATCTTCTGCGTCCTGCTGCTATTGAAGAATGAAGAACTGCTCAATGCATGCAACCCTCCTGGCGTTGGCTTTCTGCAGCTTTTGTTTCCTGGAAACATTCTAGCTTTCTCCTTTCTTGGCATAGCCTTCTCCCGCGTGTGGAAACTCAACTACTAGACAAAAATCCATAGCCTTCTTCAAATATCCTAGGAACTTCTTCAAGTGATGAAATGACATAGCTTGGATTTGACATTCTTGAAGCCAATTCCTTCACTGCAAACGCTACATCATACCTCTCTTGACATAGCCAGATACCTGAGAATCTTCCCTCGCTCATGCAAGGCTTCTGGTTTATCTTCCATCTGGAGTGAGTTGTCTGGTGGTAGTTGCTGGAGTTTGACCTTTCCAATCTGCATTTCCTAGGCTTTCAACATCTGCTGGATGTAGTTACCCGGTTGGATCCATAGTCCACCTCTCTCTAGTTTGTACTTTCTCCTCCGGAAATTGAATGATTCACCAAGCTTCAATTGAATGGTTCACCTATCTTCTCAATTTTGCTCACACTGGTGTCAAACCTGTCGTGACAACCTGTCTTGAATGTTTGGAAGAAAGATTTCATTGGGTTACTTTGGGTCGCTGTGAAAACCTAGTCATCCACATGGATCAGAATGATGCTCTTCTCGTTTCTTCCCAGGCATGGACACTCAGCACTGAACTTGTAATTGAGTTCCTCGGCGAGGTACTGTGAAAAACTCAAACCATGCTTGCGCTCCAGCTCTCTGTCCAAGTATATTTCTCTTCACCAAGAGTTCTTCCCCTCTCAAGTTACACTTTCAATGGTTTCTCTTGTGGGACCTGCAAGAATGCGTCCTTCGCATCAAGACATCCTGACATCTGAGAAGATGTTCCTTCTCCCTCTCTTGCTTCTTCCTACTCTCTGCAAAAATATTGTGTTATGACTCAACATAGCTAGATAAGACAAGGGTGCTTATAACTTAAAAATAGAAATAAAAAAGTCCAAACTCACTTCAAAAGTCCAACCAAGACTCACCTTGCACCACGCAAGTCCAAGCAAAACTCAAAAGTTCAAGGCAAAGTCCAAGCAAAACTCAGGAAAGCTCAAGCGAACCTCAAGGAGCTAGGGAAACCAGGGAAGCGCCCGCTCAGCGAGTTTTGGGCCAGCTTTGCGCGAGCTTTTGACGAGCTCTGGTAGAAGAAAACTAGCCAAAAGCTCACATCGAAGCTCAAAAACTGAATGCGCACGAGCTTTTCACGAGCTTTCTGCGAGCTTAGCTCGAAATAAACTAGCACCGAACTCACCACGACGCTCACGCCACGGGAAACTACTTTTGCGCGAGCTTTGATTGGACTTTCCCTGAGTTTTGCTTGAACTTTTGAAAGATCAGCTGAATTTGCTTTGGACTTTCCTGTTGACTCTTGGGCTTCCATTGGACATCTGCACAGCGCAAGCGAGTTTTAAGCGAGTTTGAAAACGAGTTTTGGGCAAGCTTTAAGCGAGCTTAAGAGGCCCCTGTCTTATCTGCTATGTTGAGTCAGAAATATTGTGGGTAGAAGCTTCAGTACATGTCCTAAAGTCGCTGGTGGGAAATCGTCATCTCTCCTTCCTTCAGCGAAAGCGAATTCTCTTGCAACTAGTCTTGATCTTCTCTTCCACCGTGAACTTCCACCCCTTGGTTGTTGTTCCATCCTCATGGTGGTATGGCTTCTTTTCTGCAGTCATACACATTGCAAGTTGCCAGGTAGCTAGTTCCTTTTGCGCTACCTTCTGGTTTCCCTAGCGTTTCCATTTTCTGAAGTCTTTCTCTTCCACTTCATCAGCTACTCTGTCTATCCGTTCTTCTGGATCTCCTTCTGGTTCATATTCTCCATCACGCCATAAGCATTCTCATCTTCTTCTGGCTCATCCCCTCTTCTTCCCACTCTACTTCATCAACTTCCTCCGCAACTGGCCGCAACTGGGGATAGGTCTTTAACTACAAGGTAAAGATCCTCACCTGCAACTTTCACCAAGTTGATCTTGGCCTACTTGCTCGAGTCACCTGATGGCCTGAGCTTCTTCATTGGACTTTCTCCCAAAAGCAACTCCAATGCTTCCCTTGGCCTTGAAGGCGCTGATGGTGATCTCAATGAAGATAGTATAGGAGTAACTGGATTAGGCAGTCCTGCTGGCAATGATGTAGAGGGAAACGCCTTCATCTTCTCAAGCGTCTCCTCATCTGCAAAGAGAACATTCTGCTTCTTACTCGATGTCGCTACTCCACTTGGTTTCCTTTCACCTCCACCTCTTTTCATTGCTTCAACAAGGATTCGATTTCCAGCGGGGCTGGAATCACCATTTGTTCTGGGAATGGTGATTCTTCTTTCTCTGAAACACTTCCCCCTCCAAAAGCTTTCGCCGTGACTGCTTCTGCATCTTCATCCTTAAACTTCAACGTTGCACGCCCTCAAGGAATGTCTGCTTGCTCTGCTGGTAATGCCTCTGCTCTCCTCTTTGCGGCAGTGGTGCTGCCTCCAAAGTTGGTCTGATCTTCCCACGAAAAGGCATTGAAGCTTTTGTAGGCGAGTAAATATTTGGGCCAATCTTGATCTGTTCTCCTGATGCAATTGCTGAGCACTACCTGTACACCATCTGTAAGCACTAGGTGTCTTGCCTTTCAACTTTTCCCAAGAACAAGCATAAATTTCATCTTGCTTCTCCCTTGTTGGGGCTGTTGATATTCTGCTAAAAGTCCTTTGTAACTCTTGCCAGCTCATAGGGAGTGGCACCTTTGACTGGCTGAAAAACTATTCAGCGCCCAACTGGCATGTCTTGCTGCCCAAGTCCAAAGCGCATGATCTGATCACGATACCAAGTCTTGACTGCACACCTTCAATGAAAGTTCCTGCTAGCTTTCTCACTTCGTCAACTGTGTTCCCTGACAGAAATGAATGATCTCCAAGCTTTGAGTTAACCAATCTGGTAGTGAGTCCTAGACTGTGGCGAGCATTGATCAACATTTTGAGGGTCTGTCTTGTGGGTTCATTGTCACTCCTGTCGGTGATTGCTGAATACCCCAACAACTGACTGAAGTTCATCAACTCTTGCGCAATAAGACGAAACTGGCTCTTGCTTCCCAATGGCACAACGTGAATGATCCAGTTTGGCTGTCACTTGCAACTACCCAACATACTTCTCTCGCCGACTTTGTTTCTGCTCTCTCGTGGCGATCTGGACGCGCTCGCTGCTCAATCCACTCCTTGCACCAATTGGCATATGGCATGTGTGTCAACCTTGCTTCATCTGGCATCTTTGCATCACTGTGGCCTAACACCTTTCTCGTCTCCTGAGCTTCTGCTTCACTTTTGGCATTCAACAGTTCCATCTTCTTGTTGTGATTGAGGCGCTTTGCGTTGGGGCCACTGCCTGAAATGCCGAGAAATGAGCACGCTGCCATCAGAGCTGCCAAAGGAGAAGCCTTAGCCACCTCTTTTCCATTTACCAAGACTTTGTCTACATCCACTGTAGTACACATTCAAGGTCTTCATCTTTCTTTTCTTCTTCTATTTGACCTTCTACCTCCTTCTCCGGTGGACTAGTGGTAGCCTTTTCGATTGCCTGCTCCACTTCTTACTTCCTCTGTTCTCTATTCTCAAGCTTCAAAGAATCCCATATCCTCTGGCGGCGCTGGCTCATAGCTGAAAATTGTGATTGAGGGAATGACTGCATCATCATCAAAGACTTGCTGCTCAAGTTCACCCTTTTTCATTGTGCTCTCACAATACCTGCTCTTTTCACCAAGGTAGCTCTCATCAGCTCTGGTGGCTCCTCCACTTCTGGAATGACTGTGAGATCCACAAGTCTTGAAGTCAATAAGCTTCCAACTAGCAGCCCATGCCCATTGAACCTCCAACCTGATCCCTTTTCCAAAGCTTCAAGTACTTGCACCTCCAAAAAGTTTTCATCGTCATCTCGGATGACTCTAATGCGGCGTTGAACTGTCAAAGAGCGGTTTTGCAAGTTGAGTGGTACCTTCAAGTCACCATTCTCCCGCGTTTGCTCTTTGCTATTGATTCCCCAACCAGGTTCCATCAGTCTTCCAGAGCTTAGAACTGAAGATCACATTCTCTTTGAGAAGAACTTCACGACCATCACCTTTTGCACCCGGTGGGGGTACGATTCCCTGCACCTCATGTAGCTTGGTCTTTGCGCTGAATTCCAACTCTTCCTTCCCCAAAGAAAAATGCTACATCAGCCCCACTGTCAATAATGATGGCCACATCCTCATTCTCTTTCCCAAGTCTCCTCGCCATGGGTTCATCAGCTGAGATGTCAATCTCCTCAACTTCTTGGGTCTCTGGCTCATCATCATCATCATCTCCAATGTAGAAGCGAACTGCTCGAAATATATGATCTTCTAGCTCATCATCCCTTTCTCGCAAGTCAACGGTGGTTGGCTCACTGTTCTCAATCCTTCTGACCACTGGTTTGGTCTCTGCTCAGCTACTCTGCTGGCTCACATTGGCTTCTTGCTGACTAACTGTGTGAGTAGTCACTGATGCTCCTCCTGAAGATGAATGGGCTAAATCGCTTGCTACCTGTCGAATATTGTTCTTCCAACAGTCTTTAGCAAGATGACCTGGCTTTCCACAAGTGTAACATGTAGCCACACCTTTGCCTTGCTGGTCATTGCCTTTACCTTTGCCATTGTGATCACCTTCCTTTCCTTTGCCCTTGGCATCTTTACTTTTGCCCTTTTGATTGTCATTCTTGCCCTTCTTACCTTTTCTTTTCGCATCTTGGACTCGATCAATGTCCATTGGCATAGGTCCTGTACTGCTACTTGCCGCCATGGAAGTAGCCCGCTTCTGCTGAGAGCGATCCCATTGCCTCAAAGTTGAGTATTGAATATTGTCGCCAATTGACAAACTCAAGCAGGGTTTGAGTTGTCCACCTACACATCCCGCAAGAATAGCAGATTTCAACTCTTCCTGAATTGTCGTCCCTGACTTGACTGTCTCGTCAAATACCTCTTCAAGCTTCAAGAGCTGAGGTTGTAGCGCACTGTTCATTGAAATGCTGGCCATGTAGTGGCTGCTCCCAAAGGCGCCAAGCCCCTTGCCTTCAAGGTTTCAAAGCTTTCTTCAAACTCCTCCAGGCATCAAGCCCTTTGGAGTCCTCCACAGCTTTCACCAAGTGCGCCGCTCGTCTCATCAATGAAGCTAGCAATCCATGGAGCTTGATGCACCCGGCCTTCTCTGCCTCAGTTGCCAAGTCCATGTCAAATTTTCATTTGGCCTTTCATGAACTTCCTTCAAGTCCTTCATGTAGTCCTCATCAACTGCGCTCAAATAATTCTCAAAGACCCATGACCACTCTCTGAATGCCTTGATCTCTTCTTCTTGGACTTACAGTCAAAGATGTTGGGCTTTGCTATCAGCTTCAACTAATCTGTTGTTGATGACTTCTTGTCCTCAACTGCCTTCTTCACTGCCTCAGCTGCGATGTTGTTGCTTGCGTACTCAGTGCTATATGATTTCAAGGATGTCCTTGATCTCGTCCATCCTTCTTGTGTACAGATGTCCTTCTGACACAACAATTTCTCACCAGGCCAGCTGTTTGGGTTCCAAAGGCCCAAAATCTATGGCTCGAAATCGCACCCGCGTTCCCAGTGACCCAGTTCTTTTCCTTCTGGAGCTCAAATGGGGTTGCCCTTATTCCAGCTCCGCTACCATGCGAACCTTTTCTCATGTACAAACTGTCATGCTAGTAATGCTGTATACAGTGATCATGATCTCTATTGAAAATGCTTCGCCGAAAAATTTCTGTAGAGTGTCAGGTTCTGGGCACCCGAGTAGGTGACTCTTGGCAATTGCTCCTGAGCCGCGCACATGGTGGTCCCCTAGGATATTGATGTTTCATGATTTTTGGGGGGATGTAGCCAACCCCGACGAAATAAAGGACTCCTGTAGTGATCTGCACTTGTAAAGATTAAACAGAAGCCAAGAGAAGTGAACAAGTTGAATCACACGATGTGTCTTTGTTCCAACAAACTGCTGCGTGAGCGTTTCCCCTAGAACCCGCACTATCAGTAGTTTGAGCATCTCCGAGCTTCACGCTCTCCTGAAGGGATCGTTGGTCATAGTTGTCCGAAGGAATCATGCAAAACCTGAAAAAGTTTTACAAGAAAAAGCCCTGAGGCATTGGAACCCTGGGCTTGACGCGTCAACTGCCATCTTCTTTATGATGCTGGAAGCTGTATCCCGTTTCATGCCAGCCTCTCTGGCTTGTCGACCTGTCTCTGGCTTAGTTCCTGCCCAAGGCAAGTGTGAGCCCAAAAGCCATCAGAAAACACCAAACCAGTCAGGCAATATTGATTGTTTTTGTCTATGTACATGAATCTAAGGATTTCTCTTACCAATTGCGAAGCAGCGGTACACAGTGAATCGTGTGCACCAAACGAAACTGTGAATTTAAGTAGAAATTCAAGATGAAACAAACCCAGACAAAGCATGGCCTATCTAGTGGTAGGATGATCTGACTGATGAACATCAAACAGCTGGAGGCTTAAGTCTGCACTTCAACTGCTTGACTCCAAGGCCGCTGCTCCAAGTCTAGCAGCCTGATCAGTAGCATCGAAGCATCCACATGAACAAGGATCAGTCAAAGAGCCAAAGTTGCAAAATAGAAGAAACTTGGGGTGTTTCAAAGGTTCCAACATGCTTCCGATTTTGTCCCGAGCGCTGTCTTCTGTTTTCTTGGGAGGGTCGAAATCTTATTCAATCCATTTCACCTCTGGAGGGTCTCTCCGGTCTCCGCCAAGTCGCTTGTTCGATCTGCACCTGGAGACCAGACTCCAGTGATGGGAATTCGTGATGAGGTGATGAGCGGTGAATATTTAGCTACCAATTAGCTTCCACAGCATGCTGCCGCCTGTCAGGAATTCTAGACTGGTGGCTTTCAAGGGCAAGCCAAAACTCTAGAAAACGGGTTTAATCATAGAACCTTAGAAAGACTTGCGAGCACTTGTCTGGATCTCTATCAAGGAATCTGACCTGCCACAGGGCGATACCCTGCCTGAAGTTTTCCAAGTATTCCCGAAAAATCGTTGACGTTGTTCAAGAAAACGGGCCAGGGGCGTAACACCCCAGGGGCTTTGAAGACTCCTCGCAGCTCGCAGGACTGTTGAACTGGAATCCTCTCAAGTAGCGATGGCCTCCAACCTACTAGCGATGGCCTCCAACAAGGTGACTATGTGATCTCTCAAGTATTACAGTATGCTGATAGTCTTTTCGGAGAAGGAGGCCCTGGGTGAGTCGTGTAGCCATTGCCACACTGATTCACACTAGTTGTTTCATCTCTCAACCTGACAGTACCGCCGCTTGTAAACTGGAACAAAGTTCAATGCGGCTTGGCGGCTTGGCCTCGTGTTCAAGATCATCCGCCTCTTCCTCCGATTTGCCTACCCGGTGGCATTTGCCGTCCATTAATCTTTATGTGTGGCCCCAATCGTGCAAGGACTCTGCTGTACCCCGTATCCCGGCAGCGATGAGTGCCATCGCAAGCTCTTTGAGTGGAATTGCTCATCTCATCTTCTCATGAGCTGAGACTTCTGAGCAAGAGAGTGAGGAAAAAGGAAAAGGAAAAGGCATGATGCGGCATGAAGGGCTATTGAGCAGCCACAGAGAGGAGTGTCCAAGAAGATAAGTCCGTCCAAAGCCTTCGCCTTCATCTTCGTATTCTTCAGGGGCTGAGTTCCGCCTTGCAGATCAAAAAAAGGCACTCAAGGTGCAACGAGATACATGTCAAAGAAAAAACGTTCTAACGATTTCAAATGAATCGGTACTTGAAGCCTCAAAGGGCACTGCCGACCCACTCTTTCCTTCTCAAGGAATGCAACACGAACAGCGAGAAACCGCCGAAACCGGCACCTGCGGGTGTCCAATACTCAGGGCCTCAAATCGGGGTGAAAACCCAGCAACGAACCCATCGTTATACACAAATCTACATGAGCCTGCATGAGTCTACATACCTATCGACCGGACACAATCTAAGCCTCCAAACCCATCGACAATAGCCTGGGTCACTTTGGGTGACCTGGAGCAAGCTTGTAAGAAGCACTGTGATTCAAGTTTTCTTTCTCCTTCTTTTAAGCCCGTTGCCTTCGCCTTACGTTGGGGCAGTGGACGCGGGATAGCTCACGCTTCTTCAAGGAAGCTCCCCCCATATGAGGGTGGGGGGAGCTCCCTTTTTTTCTTTTCTCTCCAGCCGACGCAGGGGTCATGGCGACCAGTGGGCGTTCCGCACCAAAGGTCAGGTTCCAGCGGAATGCAACAAGCTCACATCAGTGAGTCAAAAAGCATGGACCATGAGTGAGGTGTGGCCTTAGCACCCTTCTCAAAAAGCCCGACATAAACACTCAAGCGTAGGATTGTCAAGGAAGACTTCTGCACCGAAAAATGCCCCTTTGGGATGGGTCTTCCCATTACACTTATTCCCTTTGTCAAGGAGCAAAGGCGCTACCACAATGTACTTTTGTTTACAGAAAGAAATGGCAGCTCTGATTATGGTCGCATAGGCCTGCAGTGAGCAGAGGGTTCCCACAGCCAGCTCAAATCGCCAACCTTGCATAAATGCAAAAACAGCCAATTCAAACACGGAACACGCCAGCCCGTCACCGACCTTCCATCGCAGAGAGTTGGTGAACCGTAAGAAGGTCCGAAAGTTAGCTGCAGAAAGTGGTGGCTTATTACTGCCAGCCAGTGTGTCATCCTTGTAAACAGACCAGGTGTAGTGCTCGGCAACACTGTCCCATGCCCATCTGGGACAAAGTTGGCGCGGTGTAAGCCGTGCCGCTGGTGCAGTGGGGACCGCGGGAACGGCTGTCTGTGCATCGTCAGGCTTCTTGCAAGTCCTATTCAGCTTCGCCAGCCATAATTGCCGTGCAAAAACCTCTACCTCCTTAACACCAAGTTCAGCTTTGGCCTGGTTTGCCAAATTTTGAATGGTTTGCTTCGCATATTCATCTGCCTTCCGATTGAGCAAAATATCCCGTACAGTCGAACCAACAGCCACTGCATCTGCTTCAGTAATATGCGCAGCAGGGATATGCTCAAGGAGGTGTGCAGGACACCATACCAGTTGTAAGGGAACAGAGCAATGTCCCCGACGGCGATGGATAAGGGTCAGCAAAAAATCCCCACCACTGGGCGTGTGTCCATTCCAGCTGAAGGCAGTCCAAACGAAGAAGTTCAGTGAACTGGTTGACAATGGTCAAGGAATCTGTATGTATCACCATGGGGCACGGTGCAGCCGCAAAGGCTTCAAGCACAGCCCAGAGCTCTGCACTATAACTGGAAAGCCTCCAATGCTTGACACGGCCTGCAGCCAAAAGTGAAGAGTCCTCGGCCACCACAGCAGACAGCTGCACAGAACCATCAGTCCATACGTGGCAATACTGTTCATCATGGGTATTCCATTCACAAACCCGAAGGTCAGAGACATTTGAAACCTGCAGTTTGCATCTGATCTGTTCAACCGGCATCTCAACAACCCCGAGCATCCGGAAGTTCGGTCCAAAGTAGTACTTGGATTCTGGTTGCTGTAGTTCGGTCGGCAAATTGGGACAACCGTCAACAAAGTGCTGGAGCGACTCCTTGTCGTTCTTGCAGTATCTGCATTGAGCAGAGTCAACCAAGCCCGAAGCAGCTAGTCGATCAGAGGTAAGCGTGCAACCAGTAAGGGCACTCTCCCAGTGACAAATGAAGGAAAGCCCCTGATTCGGGATTGCTGCAATCTTCCTCTTGGCAGAGAGTGTCAGAGCCAAATCAAGAAAACCAGCAGCTTTCTGAATGTCTTTACGAGGCATCAGGCATGCGGTCTGATAACACTTGTTAGCCGCGAGGCTCTTGAGTATACACTTCAGATCTTTGACCGAAAATTCAAGGAAGTCCACAGCAGGTGCTGAAAAAATGGAAAGTCCGAACGGGCTACTCCACTCTACATCCAAGATATGGCATGCTTGGGCAAACTGAGTCATCCAAGATTGTGGTGCCATCTGATTAGGCTCATAAATGGCTTGCCATCGTTGTCTAGCAAAGGCTGAACCCTGAAGGAATTTCGCAGATTCCATGATTGTTGCAACAGCACGGAACAGGAAAGGATCCAACTTGTGAGCCTTGTGAATGACACAAAGGAGCAGGTGTTTGGACCGCCACTTCGGTCTGTCCTGCCAAATTGCGTCGGCCACTGCACACTGAAGGCGTGCCAACAGCCTCTTTGGAATGAAGTTCAGCTGGGGGGCAAAGGCTCTCTGTGGCAGCACTTTTGTGGCAAGGATATGTGCACGTTTATCACTGTCACACGGCAATGAACGTATGGACTCACAGCCCCGCTAAGCTGCTTGGACCTTTGTACCTGGGAAGCTTCCTACGTGCTTCTTCGTAGTCTGGATGAAAGCCCCCAGTATGTTTACCACCTCGACAAGCTTCATCTGTGGGAACTCCTTCTTCAAAGCCTGACGAAGAGCACGCGTAGTGGCAAAGATTTCACATTTGCTGGTATTGAGAAACTGGCCACAAAGTTGGTCCCAAAGTTCTGTAGCTTGGACTGCTGCCACAAGCTTGTCCACAGTGGCCAATCTCGTCCAAAGATAGGTGTCGTCAATGAAGGCACGGAAGTTGACCCCATCAATGTTAGAAATAATCCATGCCCAGACGGCCATGTGAATGTTGATGCATAGCAGGCTAAGCGAACAGCCCTGCGCAACACCATTCGCCGTAGAGATAGGTTGGGCACGTGTCCACTGTTTAAACGAAAGGAACCTCGTCATACAAGTATAGAGACCCAGGAACCCACAAACCAGTCCTTTTGGCAGCCCGAGGCCCAACATAAGCGCTCCACATAACTTGGGGCATGCGCCGGTCAAAGCACTTAGTCTTATCCAGCTTGAGGCCAGCAAAGGTGCCATTGAAACTATGCGCAGAATCGATCTCAACCTGTATGTTCATGTGCACTTCTGACATCTGTCTGCCTTTAATGCCTCCCTTCAATTGTATGGGCATGACATCCCGCTGCCACTGCTGTAACTGAAGGAACCCCAGGCCTGTATACAACAGCGTAAAGACCGACTGGAGGGAGATGAGCCTCTTTGAGAGCGGAGCGTCGCTCCCGTCCTTATTGCGGATGACCATCCTTACTTGTGTGAGGATCTTGGGGAAACGCGCATGGCCTGCCTAAATCTGGTTGAAGAGGTCCGCCACCGGTTGAAAGGCAGAAGGAGGTAGAGCTTGCACCTCTTTGGTCATCCAACAGTCGAGGCCTGCAGCAGCATCTGGACTCCTTCTTGCAGCCTGTTGCCAAAGCTGGTACGCAGTGATGGGCGGCAGGGAGATTGACTGGCCTTTATCATGTATATACGGCCATACTTGTTTGAGGATCACCAGTTCATGGTCATGTTGCGCGTTGACTGAGAAAACCGTGTCCCACTTGGCAGCAATTGTATCCATAGCCGCTTGAGGGTCATACAGGATGTGCCCATCTTCATCTTCCACCAGATTGGGCGGAGAGATTCTGCCCTTTCGCTTAAGAAATTGGTAGACAATTTTGCCAATCGCCATGGATGTGGTTGCAGCTTTCATGGATTCTCTCCATTTGTGGATGGCTGAGAGCTTGATGGAACAAAGCTCCTTGTTGATAGCAGCAAGCGTAATCTCGATCAAGTGCGGAAGATCGTAGACAAAAATCTGCCGAACAGAAAAAGGAATCAGGTTAGCAACCTTGAGACGCCGGAGAAGCCTGTGCTGTGTGTTTCTGAAAGTTCGGCAATCTCCATCTGTACTCTGCGATCGATGGAACCGAAATTCCAGTTCGAGCAATGCTTGAAGAGTTGCACGAAGGAGCTGCAAGTGGGGCGAGGCTTGATGGCCATTCGCCTCCTGTGGTGGGCAGAGTTGGACATTCTGGAACTTGGGCATCTTGCCTCTAATGTGAGGCCTTTTCTCCCAACTTGCCCCGTTCAAAAGCACAATACGAACAGCATAGTCCGTGTAGACCTCCCATTGGTCAAAATCTGTTTTGTAGCCCTGTTGATGGGGCAGCCCGTGTCTGTGGGGTCAGCCTTCTGGACATTCTCAAGGTTCAGCTTGGCTGCACGTTGCAAGATTGCGCCAACTTGCTGTATCCTGTCCCAGGCAAAAGTTGCCCTCGCTGGCCTGCGCTGCCGGTCTTGGTGATTGAGGACTTCAATGTGCTGTGGGGCAGTAAGGGCAGTACGATTTACCAGGATTCCATCAATTGAGGATTGGCCCTCCGCATCAGCCGTCGTAGTGCGCTGAAAGAAGGTTGGTGGTCTCACTACACCCTAACCATCAGTTTGTAGTAACGGATCAGCCCAGCCCCAGTGATCAAGTGCAAGCTGAACGGATGGGTACATTCCCGGCTCCATCTGGAAGTCACCCGCAATCAGAATTGGGATGTCACCGAACTGAGCCGCCACTGTGAACATTTTTGGTGGAGTAGTTCATTGTTGCGCTCAAATTTAGCTCGTTCGGATGCAGCGTTGGCAATAGCATAAAAGTTGAATGCCAAGAGTTTTACCGAAGGTGCAACTTGATGCCAGGTGGCAGTAACCCTGGCTGTCCCACAAATAGTTGCCCACGCACCAGACAGGTCAGCACTACCCTCACAGAGCTGAGTTGTTTCTCTTGATGCACACGTAGCTGTCCTCCCGATGGGATCCGGTAGTTGCCATTACTAGCTGGAATTTCTGTAGAGGCTGAGAGCAGAAAAGCTGAAAGTTGAACATGGCAGCCTTCCGTTGAGAGTCAGCCAGATTGGATTCAGCAACTCTTGCTTCTTGTAGCATGAAGGCATCAGCATCCCATTGGAGGCAATTTGAACTGGTAGCAAAGGAATCAACATTCGCTGAAATGATAGACCACTTAGGGCCTTCACCAGGAAATCCGAGCGTCATGTCAAAAACTACAGTAACCCATGTATAGGCTGGGATATCCCTGCAGTGCCTGAAAACATTCCATGTTCGATCACCACAACCAGGTGGAGCGGTCCTCTCCTTCACAAAGTCGTGGGAGTACGAC